ACAATCTCCAGAGATATGAACCAAAACAATAAATCATCAGTCACTTTTGGAAAATGTTAAGAAACAAGCTTATTATTTTGAACACTGGTAAATAAAAATAAAAAGGTAAAGAAGCATCCCAACTAATCAATGGTAAAGGACTGAGGGAGGGAGAGAAAAAGAAATAGAGAAAGTACGTAGTTCACAAAAGAAAACACAGAGCATATATTTGTGACTATAAACAAGAATGCCAGGTCACATGCCATTAAGGGGGAGTATGTGCACCAAATTCAGTTCTATTAAAATTAAAGACTTTTTTTAACAATGAATACCATAAAAACAGTTAAATATAGAGGACAGATCAAAATATTTATACTTGCTCTAATAGAAAGTAATGTTTATAACATAAGAAATCCTGCCAACTTGGTAGAAAGAGACCCCAAGAAAAAAGGGTTGATAACAATAGGAGAATCTAAAAGATAGTAAGTATATGAAAACCAACTTCAGTAGAATTCAAAGAAGTGAAAATTAAGGCAAATCTGTAAACAATAGAATGTTGGATAATACCAAGCGCTAGTGAGGCTAGGGGGAAAATGAGACTCTTCACCGCTGCTAAGATCCTAATTTGGTGTAGCCACTGGGAGAGTCATCTAGCAGTCTAGCATTGACCTTCTGGATTTTAAGCCTCAGACAAGTTCTCACATACAGTCACCAACATCTGTCTATATTTATTTCAATATTGTTTGAGATAGCAAGGAATTGGAGACAACCTCATTTTCTGCCACTAAGAAATATATTAAATTAATGTGATAGGATACCATAATTAGACTCATTGGAGTTTTTGTACAAACATAATTTTGTATGCAAAGTGAAATATCATGAGTTTTATAATCCAATAATAGTGATATACACTAAACACAAGCATGCAGGCCATTTCATAATAATTTCCAAAGATATATGTGTATACACCAGCAAATGGGTGGTGCCAGCAAGTTGTTCAATTTCAGGGGTACTGTGCCCAGTTTCCTACAGCATGACTCCAAAATACGTTAAGAATGGTGCCCTCTGGAGTTGTGCGATGGGACAGCCTTGACTATATAAGATGGTTTAGAAGGTCACAGATGAAACACACGGAATAGGTGTCTATACAAGATGGGGGCCAGAAGGGAAACGGGAGTGGGAATGGAGGAGAAAGGAGAATGTAAAGGAAAACAAAGTAAGATTTTTAAAAAGAGTCTTTGCACAAAAGATGGCAGCGTGTCCTGAATGAAGAAATAGGATCCACTTAACTCTGAGGTCTGGGGGAGGACCTTGAAGAGGAGTCTTGAACTAGTTAACCAAAAACTTTAAAAATCCTGCTAAGAAATGTGAATTTTCACACTGAAGCTATGAGAATGCTGAAGTGTCTGAAAAAAGGAAAAATCTGCATGAGAATGCAGAAGAGGGTCAGAGGCTGGGGAGACCTTCCAAGGAATTGAATTCATATGTGCAGAGGTGACAGCATGGCCAAAGATGCCCTTCATCAGGTGTTCATATCTAACTCCGTGGGCACAGGGGTTCCCCAGAAGGCCCAGAGTGGCCTGCCCACCACCCTTCTCCTATTATCATGTACCCAGAGGCAGATGAAAAGTACTGGGATAGCGGTTGGCACCACCTTGCAGATGTCATTGGCCACACAGTATCTATAAGCTGTGGGCTGTGGGTTCTAGATTGTTCTGTGGGTTCTCCATGCTGATAGAAACACAGGGTATTAATGTCCAGAAATTTACACAGGAATCTCTCCTCCTTTGTCTTTTCCTAAATCCTCACCTTGTAGATATATATTATTTCTGGGATGCTTAGGAAATCATTCCACCTTCCTGGTAGAAATAGTTGGACAAGACTTTATCATCTTGTAGAGCTTCCATATATCCAGCAATTCCACTCCTAAGTATTTACCCAAAGGACACAGAATCATTAATTCAAAAGGGCACCTGCACCCCTATGTTTATAGCAGCACTATTTACAATAGCTAAGCTTTGGAAACAACCCAAATGTCCAAAAATAGATGACTGGATCAAGAAGATGTGGTACCTACACACAATGGAATATTACTCAGCAATCAAAATAGATAAATTCATGCAATTTGCAGCAAGATGGTTGGTGCTGGAAGGGATCATGCTCAGCAAAATAAGCCAGAAAGAAAAAGAAAAATACCGGATGGTCTCACTCATAGCAGGAATTTAGAAAACCTAAATAAGGGACCAGGAAAAAGACTAATTATAATAAAGAAAAAATCAAAATCAACAAGCAACTGTAGACCAGAGACATACCGCTTCTCGGCCTTTTGGCTAAGATCAAGTGTAGACCAGAGACACACTGGGGAGGGGAGGATTAGGGTCAAAACAAGGGGGGTGGGAATTATATGGCGAATATAACCAAAATGAAAATGCATATATTGTGGAAAAATGATGTAAGAATTATATAAAATAAAATAATAATTTTTTTAAAAAAGAATTTATCATCTTGGAGGCCCTTTTAATGCCAATACTAGGGGCCTGTGAGGAATTTTGTTTTCTGGCTGTGCTGAGAACTTCATGGCTCTAAGGTGACTGGTGTGATGAACAAAATGGGCACAGGTTTTAGAGTCAGGTTTGGGTTAGAATCCTGCATCTACTACTTGCAAACTGAGTGGTTCTTCATTTCTTTATCTATAAAAATTGGAGGTTAAAAAGTTCCACCTCACAAGCAGGGAAATGCAGCAGGAGGATCTGGCATTTGGAAAGCACTCCACAAAAGATAGTTCCTCTCCATCCTCCTTCCTTCTGTTTAGAAGATGTTTCATGAGCATTTTCACACCACAGTTTTCACAAATTGTCACAATCAAATTGTCCCTTTTTAAGAATTTAAGAATGAGCTCAGGTGTAGCATCACATGTAGAATGAAATCCCTAGAAAAATATAAACTGTTAATTAGAAACTGTTAATAAACAAGTGGGCTTATTTATGTATTTTATTTATTTTCATTGGATTTTTGATAGGGGTGGGTAGGGAGAAGTACATCAAATATGTTTTAAGGGGCCTCCCTGGTGGCACAGCAGGTTGAGCGCCCTGTGGTGAAGCTGTCCGAAGCCGCTGCAGTGCGGGTTCAATACCTGGCCAGGGAGAAACCCACATGGCGCAGCAGAACTCTCCTGCCTCATCTGCTGCTCCCCTCAGCAGTGTCTTCTGTCCAACTGCCTTGTTCAGCTCCCTGCTCTGTCTCTGGTGAATTCTCTCACTCTCCCATGCCTCTGACCTATACCCCAGTTCTTGTATAAATAAATAAATCTTTAAAAACAAAGCAAAACAAAACAAAAAACCAAATATGTTTTAAGGCATCACCTTCTAAGAATAACCTTTTCCCATAGACTTAAGATGAAAAAAAGATTATGAATATTTTTTAAAATAAATCCGGTTCTCCTGTTTATTAATCACCTTAATCAAGCTCACATGAAGTTTTTGTTGGTCCTGCTCAGACAGAGCAGATGGTGGGCCAGCTTTGAAACGAGGTAAGATTCCTATCACAAAGCAGTGCTCATGGGGTACAAGGTCTTGGAAGGAAAGAAGACTCAGGGTCCTCTCAACACATCTGATCAGATGAACTGCCTTTTCTATTATAAGGATATTTTAAGTCAGTGGTTGCCAGCTCTGGGTTCCTGGGGTCACAAAGAATTGATGAATTAATTTTGACTAAAATATTTTCTTAAAATGTAATATCTAATGAAAGGGAAGATGTGGTGAAGTAGGAAATAGGCAAACTCATGCCTTGGTGATTGCACATCTTTTGAAAAACAATTTTGTACTTAAGTATCAACCTATGGGGAGGAGTATCAACCTTATGGGGTGGGAGCTTAAGTAGGGAAATAGAGAAGTGCTCAAGTGCTATTTTATAACAGTATAGCATAGTAAGTCGAGAACCATTACATGCAGCAGGATACACTCACCAGATGGATGGAGCTATTCATAAGGGGGCTGTCAAAACCCAAGCAGATCACAACCCCATTAAAATTATGTATTTTTCTAAGAAGAAAATAGGAAATCTTCATAATTCAAAATGTCTGACAAGAAATATAGAATTTTTGGTAGTCATAAGCTCTGGTGTCGGCATTTTCAGCCACTTCTTTCTTTTCACATGTTATTTTTCAAGCCCATCATAAGGACTATAGTGTATACCTTTTATCAGCTAATAATAATCGTGTTTTATAAGATAGTAAACAGACATGGCCAGTGGAATCTTTTGGTAGGAGGTGACTGACAGTGGAATCATTTATATAAAAAATACCATGGGTTGTAGCAGTTGCAAAAAAGATGAGACAGGGAGGGAGCCTGTTTCATTTTATATTCTCAGATGGCTTGCTGTTTCCTCCTCAGGATTTAAGCCTGGAGAACAGGTGAGGATTTGCACAGAAATCTTGGTGTTGGTGCTGTCATTCATTGATCCTCATTCTTACTGCCATGATTGCTTAAAAAGTGAGTGGGATTTTAAAATAGCATTTCTAAGTTACTTCCTAGGCACAGGCACTGCTTTGGTAGGTTTTTATATCTATAGTCCACCTCTCTCTCGGGCTTTCAAGAGCTCTGAGTCAAAGAAGCTATTGTCTCCTTTCTCCTCCCCCTGTCGTCCCCCTTTCTCCTACCCACACAGAGAGTATTGATTTGGGTGAAAGAAAAAATGACCCAGCAGACTGGGCCACCCTTTGTTATAAACAAATCCTCCTCACTGCCTGAAGAGTTGACTAGAGAAGCATTTTCAGGTGGGCAGGATGGGAAGGTTCTGGAAAGAGGGCACCAATGAATCCCACAGGCCTGCCTGTGATGTGGCTTATTTGCTTTACAGGCTTCAGGCATATTTGCTGACGTCAGCAGCCCGTCAAAGTTTGAAATAATAATAGTGAAAGGAAAACAGTCCCTTTCTGCCAGGCAGGCCTGTTCTGCCAACTTCTGTGTTCTCCTTTGAGTTAATAAACGTCCAAGAACCACCTCCCTTACCAGCCTGGGGGTGGGTGGGGAGGTGGGGGGAAGCATAATAATTTGAAAACCACCAGGTCAGCCCATTGCCAGCGTAAACCATTCAGACAAGCAGCGTTTGTCACACTCTAATGAGGATTTCAGCTTTGCCTCAAAAGGAAAGCTATCATTAGGCTTTGCATTTATGGGATCAAGTGACTTCGGGGGACGGTGGGTTTCTTTTGGTCCCTTCCTCATTTTAAGCATGCCCAAGACCAGATACATAGATGTTTTCCTCTATCAAACAAAGCTAAAAAACCATAATTATGCCTACTAATGTCTTTTGAAAACATCAATTAAGAAAACGGCTTTTTAATCCCCATTGTACTTAAAAATCTGAAACATCCACACATGTTGTAACAGCCTGGAGTGGGGGGGTCACTGTGTCTGAGGAGACAACCCATAGGGCTTGAGGGGGTTAAGTGAGCAGGACTCCATTGGCAATCGGCAGACAGAACCTCTCCAAGGGAAGAAACTTCTCTATAAAGCATAACCTCTTATCTTCACATGTAGTGTTGAAACTGGAGCCAGCCCCTCCAGTTGGGTTGATACCAGGCTGCTACACACCACACACACACACCCCATTGTTAACACCTCAGGACAGATTAGATCCTACATTCCTCAGAAGTACTGAGCTCCAGAGGGAACACAGCCAGCAGACTCCTTCCACAAGGGCAACAACTAGCTACAACTGATAAGTTTCAATTGAAATAACTGGAACAATTACATTAAGTCCCCACCAGGGCTGTCACCAGCCAGGGAGGAAGAGGTGTTACGCTTGCATCTCCTGGTGCCTGCAAAGGTGTGAACCAGATGAGAGTAATTCAAGTCAAGTCGTTAGCTCACTTTCATATGCTTTTATCTATGGTTACGTGCTGCTGCTGTTATGTTGTTCACTCAAGGTGTACTATTAGATAGCTGGGTTGTTGTTTTTCTTTGGGGGCCTTGGCTAGTAAACTGTGATATTTACACTATCTCAGTGTAAGTTTGGACAAGTAACTATTCTCTAACCAAAGAAACTAGAGTTAGACTTAGGTTTGGGGTAAAGTCTGTTGAGGTCATGGTTAGTTTTAATCATATAGCTCAGTTCAAAAGTTCAACACAAAGATCTGGTTTTCAAGTCTTAGTTTCAAACAGAGTGTTCATTCAATAGCAAATTTAGTTGTACTTAAACTTGAGTTCTACAACTTCCCCTTTACTTTTTCTGAAGTAACAGAAAAAGTTACCTCAGATAGAAGTGGATGAAATGGCAATATGAATGAAAGGACAACACACATACCTTTGCGGGGTCAAATCCCAAAGAACCCAGATTAAATTTTAACCAGCGATTAAGTCTGCCAGGATTCGCTATCTCAAAAGTGTTATGTTTGGCTTTTGTAATAATAAATGATTGGGGGGGGTGGGGAAATCCCATTCTAGCATATACAGTATTTACTAGGATATGCAAGGTTAGACTTCCGTACAATTCGGCCTTTGAAAGAAAATAAAAGTCAGTTTAACAGACGGGTAATTCCCAAATCTGCAGAAATGTAAACAGCCTGGATTTTTGGTGCCTATGGGTTTTATCAGTGATGTAAGTAAGGCTGAGACCAACACCAATGCGTCCTCTTTGGCTAGTTTTAACATGTTCACAGTCACAATTAACATTCAAGGAATTTCCTTTTCATCCAAGTGTTTCTTTTAAAAGCACTTTATGCTACAAACTAAAATTCTAGCTGCCATCAGTCCTTCCCAAACAAAAAAAGTGGTGAAATCTCCATAATACTTTCATAGCTGTCTTTGAAAATGGGCTCGGACCACCTCAGCTTCCCCGGAGCATTTGTTTTCCACTGGGGGGAGGGAGGAGGGATGGGGTAGGGTAAGGAGGGGGGACTCTCACCTCCTCCCTCCTTCCTTCCCCTAAAAAGGCTCGGATAGGAGACCCGGCTTCTAAGTCCCGCACCCTCCAGCACTCTCAACCCGGAGCCCGCCCGAGGAGCGCCGCTGAGGGGCGGGTGTCCTGAACCCCCCCAAGGCCCAGCCAGAGAACTGTTCCCCACAGGAGTCCCGGGCTGACCCTCAGCCAGGTTGCAAGCCCCTGAGCCGCCCAGGCCAGTGTTTTCCACAAGGAAGGGAGAAGCGTTGTTCTCCCTCTGCCACCCTGCACCTCCTACACAAGTGATTCGCACACGGGCACTGAGTCTGAGTCCTGGCTGTGCATGGAACTCAGCCCGGTGTCCGAGTCCTCGTCGTTCCCTGGGCAGCTCTTGGCTAACCCACGGGCCTGATCCACCCACACGTCGGCGCAAGCCTGAAGTCCGGGTTCCGCAGGAGCCCCGCCAGAGCCCAGAGCCCCGTCGGGCGCTACAGTCAGCTCCAGCGTGTGCAAAGTCTGGAGAAGGCCCTGCAGCTCGCGCTCCTTGCTGTCCCACTGCTGCTGGCTGTAATCCAAGTCCGACTTCACGGCCTCCAGGTCTGTGTTAAGCCGGAGCCCGATGTACAGGCTAGTGCTGAGCTGCGTCCTGACCTGCTCCTGCTCCAGCAGCAGCTCGCCTTCCAGGTGGCCCTCGGTCTCCACCGGCTCCTCCCTCGCCGCGAGTTCCTCCTGGCGCCGGCGCATCCACCTCTGGTTCAGTTCTTCTTGAATCTCGGCTGAAAGGCGCTCCAGCAACTCCTCCTGTTGGGTCCGCTGCTCCTGCAACCGCAGCAGGTCGTCGCAGCGCCGGGCCAGCTCCTCCAGCTTGACCGCCTGCGCCTCGCCGTCCAAAGGCGCAGCGGCCGCCGCCGCGGCTGGCTCCTCTCCCGGGCTAGGCTCATCGACCTCGAGGCCTGCGCCCACCAAGTAAGTGTCCTGCACGTAGTTGACTCCATGTCGCCGCATGCGGTCCAAGTGCACCTTGGCCTCATAGCGATCGATCTCGCGGTCCAGTTCCCGGAGCCGCTGCACCTGCTGACGGATGGTATGATCCTGCGAGAGCACCAAATGCACCAGCGTCTCCATGCGCTCCACAGACGCGCTCTCCGTGGCCCGCGGTGACGACGAGCAGGACGAGGTGGTGGACGATGAAGTGGACGAACAGGGTGACGACGGCTGCTGCTGGCGCCGCCGGTTGAGCTTAGCCAGCTTGCGGAAAGCCTTGCGCACCACCCGCCGCTGCTTCTCCTGGGTCATGGTCACGTTGGGCCTCGGCTGGACCCCCCGGGTCGTGCAAGGGCGCTCTCGACTGAGCACAACTCTCGCCTCGGCGCTGCGCGGGCCGGCGTTGGGCAGCGACGCCTCGCTGCGCACTAGCACGAAGCGCACATTCTCTTGCTCATCGCCCCAGGCAGCCCAGAGGCGCAAGATGCGCGTCTTGTTGGGCAGGATGCGCTCAAAGCCCCGCCACTTCTCCACGATGCAGTAGCACTGCGGGGGCCCGCACAGCATGCTCTGAGTCAGCGCCTCGTCTTCGTCTTCGTCGTCCTCGTCCAGAGCTTCCAGCAGCTCCCCTGGGCCTGGGGCGTCCCCTGCTGCCCCCCGCCGCCGGCCTCGCCGCTGCTTTCTTCGTCGCCGGCAGCCGTCCTCCAGCAGCACCCGCACCACGTCGGAGCAAGTGGTGCGGCGGGAGAGGCCCGACACCAGCTTCTCTTCCTGGCAGATCCACACGGAGATCTTCTTTTCTGAAGGATCCATAGCGCAGCCGGGGCGCTGGGACGGCAGGGGCAGCGCGGGCAGTCCGGCAGCTGTGGGTGGGGAGGGAGCTCGGGACCCTTGTCCCGGCAACAGCGGCTCTCTCCCCGGCCGCGCACCGAAGACCAGCGCTGGCGCCGGCGGGAGGCGCTTCGGCCGTGCTGGGCCGGGACGGCGGGCGCTCCTGGGGCAGCGCGCCCGGACCTGCGCGGCACCTCTCTGGCTCTGCGCGAGGATGCCCGGGTCGCCGGGTTTTGCTCCACCCCACGTGGCTCCTCCCCCTCCCACCCCTGCTCTCGGCTGCCGCGCGGCCGGAGCCGGAGAGGCGCGGCGCTCAGAACCGCCTCTCGCAGCCTGGCTGCGCCCAGGGCGCCCAGTCCGCTCCCGACCCGCGTAGCCGGGACCGGGAGTCTCGGCCTCGGCCCCTTCCGCCGACTCGCCGCGGGGTAGCGCGGGGTGACCACCTGCTGCGTTCAGGGCTGACCAGACGCTTCTGATTTGACTTTCTCACTTTCCCCAGCGCCTCCAGACTGGGCTCCTGGCCCTTCAAGGCAGCGTCGTGGGAGAGCCCCTTGTGCAGTCTCTAAGGAGACTCGAACCACATCCCTGGACTTCCAGCTGGGAAGCCTTCCAGACTTCTTTGCCTGGTGGTAATATGTGCATATTTAAGAACAAGATGGGGCAGGGAGTCCTCAGAGCAAGTGTGGCTATAGAATAGTCCAGGTTAAGTGTAGACTTTCACAAGCTCACTGCCGCCCCCCCCCATTACCTTATGGGGGTGATGCTTCCCCCAACCTTCTTGACAGGGGGACTCCTGATTGTAGTGGGAGTTCATCCCAGACCCAAGTCGCAAGCTCTTTTTTCCACTTCTCTCCATCATAAAGGGAAACCTAATCATTACCGTGACAATTTCTGGCATTTTCCGGTATGTAAATTTCTGGCATTTTCCAGATGTAGTCAAGAAGAGGTCAGAACCAAGTTTTACAGTTCAAAATCTCCAAGGCCAAAAAACAAATGGATTTTGTTCTTCCTCCAATGTTGATGAGGATGGCCCTTGTGCACAAGACTTGTCCTCAGCTTGTCCTGGTGGGCAGGGTTGAATAGGTCACTCCCTTGCACCTAGACTTTGGATGGTTCCCCACTACTGCTTGAATAAAGCGCTTTTATTCATCCACTCTGTAAACATTTATTGAGTATGTACTATGCTCCAGTTACCTTGCTAGGGCAATTTGATGAACAAATTGCGGTCCTGGCCTTCTAAGAGCTTAAAATCTAGTGGAGAGCACAGTTGAATGAAAGTGTCCAACACAGGGAGAGCATGAGGGGCTAGGGAAAAACTAGAGTGCCATCCTGCACAGCCTGGGAAAGTCAAGGAAGGCTTCCTGGAAGAGGTGGTATCTTAGGCAAGACTGGAAGCAACTTTTGAGTCAGTCATAGTAAAAATAAATGGGGGGAGAGGGCAGGCCCAATTTCAGGTAGAAGGAACTATATATGCAAAGTTAAGGAATCAACAGAGAAAGGCAGTTACTAGGGCGATAAGGGATTTTAGTGAGAGGAGCTTCTAAGAATGAGATTGGATGGGTGATCAGGAGCTGAGTCAGAAAGAGCATTTAATTCCTGCCTCAGTATTTGGACCTATCCTAAAGGCAACGGGAAGCCATAGAGTGTGGTTTACTAGCTCTGTGCCCCTAGGAAACAAACCCCATCTCTCTAAGCCTGTTTTCTCATCTGTGAATGGTGATAATAGAAATAGGTGGCTAATAGGGCTGTTGTGAGGATTAAGAGCTTGAACTGGCTCTGTCCACAATAGAAGTTTTATTGGAGGGCAAAATACTTGGAGGGGGGGCAGGGACAAGAATGCTACTGTCTAAAAATTTTCACAAATTTAATGTATTACAATACTACCCATCTATAAGTACACAGTTCTGAAGGTGAGAAGTCTACTATGTCATGACTAGGGTCTTAGCTCAGGGTCTCCCAAGGCCGAAGGCAAGGTGTTGGCTGAGTTGAATTCTCAACTGGAGGCTCTGGGAAAAATCCATTTCCAACCTCACTCAGGTTGTTGGCAGGATCCAATTCCTAGCTGTAGGACTGAGATCCCTGTTTCCTTTGATGTTGACTGAGTGTCACTCTCAGCTCCTGGAAGCCTCTCTCAAATCCATTTCACATAATCTGTCCTAGCCCACTACCCCAACTCCTCCCTCACATACGCAGACATTCCTTCTTCCTTCCCCTCTCACACATGATTGCTAGGACTTTGTTATCAGCTGCCATTCCTACTAGATTTTAAGTTGCCTAAAGGTAGAAGTCAAATGTCTATCGCTCATTTCTAAATCCTCTGCATTTAGCCAAGTACCTGACACATTCTAGGTTTGTTAGGTACCTGTTGAATAAATGAATGGGTGAATGAATGAGTCCTGCCTTTTGGCAAGTAAATACCTCATTCCTCTAGAACAGCACCTGCATCTTGATGTGTCCATATTTTTTATATTTTATTCCTGTTAACTAAGGGGCCTCAAATAACTGGAAAACTCCTACTCATCCTTTAGAAACCTACTCAAAGATCTCATGTTCTGGGACTCCTCTAAGATTTGGTTTCTTGTCATTTTCAGCCTCTCTTAATGAAGAGATTACATTGTGTTCTTTTAAATGTGGCTACCAGAAATTTTAAAATATCTGTGTGCTTGTATTTCCATTTAACATTGTTCCCTGTGGCAAGATCCAGAAACTCAGGACAGATTGCTCAAGCCTCTCTCAGTGTGAAGTTATCCTAAATATCCTAAACAAATACATGTCTGCCTGGATTTTGTTATCTCCAGAATAAGCCATTTTATGCCTTTTCAGGATTTGTAGTTTGAATGTTTCTTTTGTTTCAGGGTAGCAGAGAAACTTCTTGCAACAACCACTTGCTACTTCCCTTAGCAGCCTTAGAAGCACATTCCTGATTACCACCTTGCAAATACTTCAGATTCAATTTAAAGTGTAAATGATTGTTTTCCAGATAGGCCATCAATGTCCTTATTCATCTACCAGTCCTCATCCCTGATGAAGGGTGCAGAGCTTCAGGCAGTGCTCAGAGCCAGCAAAATACATGGGCTTCATAATAGGAAAAGGATATACAAAAATAATATTTTTGACCTGGGTATTCATACTCAGAACATTAAAAAAAAAGCAAATTTCATCAAAGGCCAATGAACATGACTACCTTGAAATCTGAAACTTTTGGTTGAAAAAGTAATACATGGGGATTTTATAAATAATGTTAAAATGTCAGTAGTAACCTGAGGGAAAATATTTACAGCATGGATACCAAAAGATTAGTATTCAGAATTAAAAAAAAAAAAACTCCCAAATTTTAGTTTAAAAAAATCATGCAGTACTTGTAAACTGGATGGTGGCTCAATTTTAGGTGCATCACCAAAGAGGAAACATAAATGGTTAAGAAAATGAAATAATGGCCAACTGCACCAAAAATCAGGGAAAAATAAATCTCAGTAAAATGAGACGTCTCTTTTTTGCAAGCAGATTGGCAACATGTGTTTTAAATTGATAACAAGAGGGGCAATTTCCTCTCATACACCCCTGGTGTAAATCAGTATATCTATTTTAAGGCAGTATGATAATATCTATTCAAAATGAAAACATTATGTCCCTGCATTCGACATCATGGTATCTACCCCAGAGAAACACACATGTATCCAAGGAAGCAGGTATAGGGGTGTGCACTGGGCCATTTTTGTTTTAGCAAAACAATGGTCAATCATAGTTAAGTAAGGGGATGACAGAATAGCCTGGGGGATAACCATAATTTGGAAATCTTGGCAGCAGTTAAAGGCAGCAAAGTAAATTTGTATGTATAGGCAATAACAGATCTTCAAGATGCATTGTTCAGTGCAAAAGGTAAGTTTCAGAATAATATGTATGTTGGAATCCCATTTATATTTTTTAAATCTATGCACAAAACACATAAACATCGACCCATGTTTATGTATTGAGATCTAGATATATATCTGCGTGTACACACAGAGGATATTCACCAAACTGAAAGCTGTGAATACCTCCTGGAAGAATGAGACATTTGCAGAGAGACAGGATCAAAGAGGAATTTAGCTTCATGTGTAGCAATTTTACAGAAGAATTTCATCACCTATTGCCCAATTATAAGATTACAGTACATGATTTAAAAAGTGAAAAGTCTTGGGTTGGGGGTCACTAATTACTTCTCTCCCGTAGACCTTTTCTTCACCTCCCGTTTCTCCTTTCTGTGGGTTCAGCCTTACAATAAACAGCATCTGTTCCCTCTACTCTGAAAGAACTGACAGAACCCATACTCTTTGCTAGAGGGATGTGAAAGTTAAGTGTGCTATACCGGCGAAGGGGTCTCACTGAGTACTGGGCACTTGGCTTAAAGCGTGCATTTCACCAAGGGTTTTTTCTTTCTGTCCTGGAGAACTTTTAGGAAGACAGCACAATTCTCACAAGAGTGGCCAAGCCCTTTGCTAAATGTCCTCATTGGATCACAAGGGTGGCATGTCATTTGACACTGTGGTTTTTCAGTCATTTATCTTCCTAACACCTATAAGAACTAAGACATTGCTCTCTCAGCCATGAGAAACTGAGTCCCAGGGAAAGGAATTGGTCAGGTTCCCAGTTTACAAAACTCTGGGGGAAGCTGGTATTTTGTCTGAATTTCTACCTGTCCAATCTGTCAGTCACGGTTCACAGTGATAGAACACCCAAAACAGGAACTTCCACCCTTAATTACATTGAGCTGTGCACAAGTGTGGCTGGACCTTACTGCCTGAATCAGTTCCTCTTAATAATTAACCACAGAAAATAATCTGGCAAATTGTGTTTATGGAAACGTCTGGTTCCTTTCAAAAGCCTGGGTGGGGGTGGGGATCTGGGAACTGCCACACATGTTCCAAGGGAATCTAGACCAGCTCCTGCCTAGGGTGATGTTGGCCAGTTATCCTCACGCAGGTGGTTTCTTACAGTGAGGTCAAGGGGTTGTCACCTGCCTAGAATTGCCTATGGTGTTTATTAAAATGCCATTACCTGGGCCCCACTCTAGACCTAGTGAATCAGAGTCTCTG